GACCTGCTGGAATGCCCTTCCTAATGCACCCTAGGATGTCATTGGCCTCTTGGCCACAAGTCAAATTCCTGACTCATGGACAGCTTGGTGTCTACCAGAACCCCCAGATCCTTCTCCACAGAGCTGCTTTCCTGCAGATCAGCCCCAGTCTGTCTGGTGCCTGTGGTTATTCCCTCCACAGGTACAGGACCCTTTGCAGTTGCCTTTGTTGAATTTCAGCTGGTTCCTCTCTGCCCACCTCTCCAACCTGCCAAGGTCCCTCTGAAGGGCTACAGAGCCCTCTGGGCTATTGACCACTCCTCCCAGCTTTGTGTCATCAGTGAACCTGCTGAGGAGACCTCTGCCTCTTCATTCAAGTAATTCTGAATGAATGAATAGCTTAAATAATACTGGGCCCAGTGACAGGCATCCAACCAGACCCTGTGCCACTGATTACAGCCCTCTGGGATCTGCCATGCTTTCTCAAAGAGTCAGCCCTCTATCCACCTCACTGTCCATCCATCTGACCAATTCTCCTTGAGTTTGCCTATGAGGATATTGTGTGAGACCATGCCAAAAGCCTTATCAAAGTCAAGCATAATAATTTAAATATTTTCTTTGGTAAGTACTATGTTTGAGATCTTAGTTTAATTAATTTTAATGATGAATTTATAAATCTCTTAATGAAAATATTACAATGGAACATAACAGCTGTATTGTGTAATAATGATAGTTATCATATATTATAGCAGTGCTGTTCTAAGAAGGTGATTCTTGCTTGATTCCTAAATAATGTGCCTATTCTAAGCTGATGTTGCACCTGCTTACTGTGGTTGGTTGCTGAAACATGACTGACTTTTGGCTACGGTTTTTATGCTACGTAGGTGATGACAAAAGTGCCAGCAGTGCTTCCTGAACAGAATGCCACATCTATCCATTCACATCCCGGTCACGAGAAAATGTAGCCATCACCTAACTGATTGTCCTGATTCTTTAATCTGCCTGGAAAAAGAATAAATATAAAACATATAAATATATGTTTATATGAATTTTATATAAATTTTAAATTTTAGGTAAATATAAAACATTCATGGACTACTTTAAGAAACACCAGAATATTCTTTGCAGATGGAAAAAATAGACCCAAACAGTCATTATATTAAAGGAAACTGAAAAAATTGCATATGCAGCCAGAGCACCGAATGATATAGTTAAAATAATTTTCTTTGGAGATCCCTTTTAAAGCCAGAGAAAAAGGCTGAGACAATGGTTCAGGTGGGAATTTGAGCCCACCTTTACCAGCTAAAATTCTGAACCCAAACTCGTGCAAGTTCCAATTCAGAGAGTAATGTAATGAGAGAAATGTCATTGTGCTTGTGCCTGACGCGCCAGAGGATCACCGTACTGTGGGATCCCATATCCTGGCAGGCAGGGAGGAATTCAACTTAAGGTTAGGATTCACCACCCTGCTGGGTTAGCATCCAATTAGAATTTCAGTGGGATTGCCCTTCCCTTCAAAAAGGCTTGATGTGATAATGTTCGATAGTTAATCCTAAAATGCTGTGTAAAATACCTGCAAAATGAAGAAATTCTGTAGATATATTTTGAAACTTAGTTCATCTGCATATCCTATGGAACAGTGAGATTTTATTGATACATTTCTTACAGCTTTTTTTTTTACATAAAACCACAAATAGAAAACTAAAGAAAGAAAATAATAAATTGAGATACACCTAGAAGAAAATGCTAAGAATATTCTGAAGTCTAATTTCATAGGTAACTGGCTAAAAGTAAATGGCTTAGCTAGAATTGTTAAAAGGGAAGCAACAATCAGAAATACAAAAAGCAACTAAAATAATCCAGTAAAACAATTCAGCAGTTTTTAAGATGTGGGTTTTTCTTTCTAAACATGCCTTACCTAAAACAAACAGGCAAAATTAGTTACTATTTACTGCAGTTTTGTGCAGAGATTGACAGGTTTGGAATGACTGAATTATGTGTTGGAATTATGAATTATGTGTTGCTTCCAGGTTATAAAGTGGAATCAGTGTTGATGTCTGCATGCCTATTAATATTTCTTTATGTGCAATTGCCTGTAAATTTTACACTGACTGCTTTCAGCCAGCAGCAATATCTTAAGACATCTTCAGACAAAAATATTCAGTCTTTTTATCTACATTTGATTGTCAGAATCTGTTTATAAATCTATCATGCATGTTTATGGCTTCCTTTAATTTTGCTCTGCACCACCAAGCAATATTACTGACTGTCTTATTTGTGTATGCTTTTCAATTAATGTGGGATGTGGCAGCAACCAATATGCATAAACTTTCCAGATCTTGAGTGACAGATAAGACAGAAAATTGATGTCATAATCCATACTATTGTGTGTGGTACAATAATGATTATTTAGTGATGGGGAGGTGCAACAAAGTTTTTAATAGGTTTCTGATTTATTAAGGCATACGTGATTTTCAGAGCCGGGTTACAGCTCCCTAAACATATTGAGGTTGGTCAAGTGCTACATTGCTGGCCAAAACTGTGTGTGAAAACTCACTGCTAAAAGATAAAGAGAGGTGAAATCCCAAGAGAAAGTAAAATGCTCACTTTAAAGATTATGTTTTAAGGGCAAACATAAGTTGAAACAGCTTGTAAGGAAATCCATGGCATGATTTGGGCTATGTCTGAATTTGTCTGGAAGCTCTGTTCTCTTCCCAATTCCAGTCCCCATTTCCCTTGTGCTGGTGCTGGGGAATAGAAAGGGAAAATTTGTCAACCTTTTATGCACAAGGGAAAATTCCCCCTCGATTAACGAAGGCCTCTTGTAATCATTTATAGAATTGGAGCTGGGCTTTCTAGAGCTCATTCCTTTGTGAACTGCATCTCTGGCACGCTCCTTTAAACAGCGGAAAGTGGAAAAGGATTTAGTAAAAATCTTCGTAGAAACTACTTAGTAGTGAAAAGTACCTCTTTTGGCAGTGGGGATAGTATTTCTAGGTATTCTTGAGTGTGTAATTCATTATATATTTGAACTGGAAGGAAGTTTTAGATAAAAAAAAACTCATAAGGCATAGATTATAATCTTTGGATAATATAACATTTGGAGGATAAAGCAAGGACAGTTGAAATATCCATGCCACTCCTGTGAACAGTTGCCTAATGTTATCTTGGCTAACAGTTCCATTTGGGGCTGTCACACTGAAGATTAATCTGTCCTCGATTGCTTTTTTCTGGCAAGGATGAGTAAAAGAGAATATTTTCAGATTTAAAATTACACAGAATATGATGGGTCACGGACAAAATTCTCTTCCTTGGCTAGTTATTGAAATAGCCCAAACCACCAAAACATATAGATGCTATTGTGGTCTCGTTAGCCTTGATGCAATGCAAAGAATACTGTACTGGAAAGAATCTGTGAATCTGAGAATTCATAACTGTATGTCACAAATTTACCTAAGCATCATGTTTTGGACTGTCACAACACAGAAAAAATGATCCATTTTTTGAATGGAATGATAAAACCCACCTTTTCCCACAAGTTACAGGGATCAGTCTGTGCACAGGCAGAGATATCAGTTTTATAACTGGAAATGTTTTTCAGTAATATTTCATGAGTGATTAATTGACATCAAGCTAAAATAAATAGTACAGGGAGGCTGCAGGCCTCCTGGTGGCTACCTGATGGTTGTAGGCATTCACACTGCCACCATGAAAGTCAGTTAAATGCTGAACTGTGCAAGATGCCAGTAGTACAAACAGAAACTACTGTATTTCGCTCCTACAGGTAGTGCACGAGACAGCATATTCTCTAATGAGATACTCTGTGCTGTAACAGAAGAAAACAGAGTCTGAGGTTTGAATTTCTTATTTCCAGTCATGTATGATTTTTTTGCAGGGAATATTATAAATGAAGCAGTTTCATTCAGGCAGTCCAAAAATCTGGATGGGGCAACTCTGAGAGGACACAGAGCTATGCTTGGGGAAGATATTAATCTGATAATTTAGTCAATATAGTTTTTGCTCCCACCACTAATCCCATTACTGAATTATGTGTCACAGTGTCTACACTGATGCCCTTTTAAGGCAAATTCTTCTTTCTGTCTAGCCAGCTGTCAGGCAGCACAGGCAGCCTTCTTTTTCTGCTGCAGTCAGTACAGCAAGCCTGGTCCTGTGGTGCTGAAACCAAGGGTATCTCTCCCTTAAAGCAATAAATTAATTCTTTTATTCATACCACATTTTCATTATTAAGAAAAAACTATGATTCATAAAATATTACCCTCTGGCAATATGCAGACTTTAATATTAATGCCATTTTATTAAAAAGAAATAATCCTCTAAACCAGAAAAGATTAAACTCAAGCATGAATAAATACTAGTATCTTCCTGGAAGCTACATCTGTGCCCTTCATCTCCGTTCTTTTGACATCCTGTGAACATCTCCAGAAAGTTACAGAACATTTTCTCTTGAGTGAAAAGCCCCTCATGGATATGAATGTGTTCAGTGGTCTTTGAGAAATGTCTAGAGGTCTTGCAATTTCTCACTCTCACAGCTCCAAACTGGCTGTATTTCACAACCAGATTTTACACAATAATCAGACAGTTGCTCAAATAATTGTTACTCAGTCCTTTTGCCTCAGAAAACATCCCTTCCGTGAGATTCTGCCTGTTCTGCTGACTGATAAGAAAATGTGCATTCAAATTGGTCCTGCATATAAAAACTATGACTGACAACACTGTGCAATTTGAGAACCACAAGCCTTAGGTTATTCCTAGGTTCTTTTGAATCAGCATGAAACGTGCTTCTCTGCCGAGACGTCCAACCCTGTAATTTTAAGCTTCCATTTTATTCTTGGCAATCTTATCTCTGAAAGGCAGAATAACTGTAGTAATTGCACATCTCATTTCAGAAAAATAAAGAAACATTCATTTTCCATTTTAATAGTTTACTGGAAACTGGTTCACAAGGAATGAAGAGACTGATAATGAATGAAAATGAAAAACAGCAAGACCCAATTACTCACCCGTGCCAGGCTGGTTCCAGAAGGGACTTTATACGGGACATATTTTCTGTAGATATGCCCAACTCGAGAGCATGGAACATCATACATGCCACCTCCACACATCCACACCTGGAAAGCAGACAGAAAGCAAATGAAAGAATGATTACTGTAAACAAATGAGGCAAAGAAAGCAGTTTAACTAATGTATATGTGAAAATAACGTATCATTCTGTGCTGACCCCTCCTACAGTCATGGTGGCCCTCTTGGCATGCTGCTAACTGGGATACAGTAATGTGGCAGACTCTCCCATCCAAAATCTCACTGTGCAAAAGCAGAGTATGTTCAAAAGAGAATGATAAAAGATATAGAAATAGAAATGGAATGGTTTGGGTTGGAAGGGAGTTTAAGTTCAGCTGCTTTCATTGTGCTTGGCTGTTTGTGTTAAAGTGGGTATATCTGCCTGGTCCTGGAATGCAGCCCCTGACTGACTGTGCTATTCATACTGTGAATGGAGAAAACAGGGGTTAGAGTGAAGGACTGAATTACAAAGTGATTTAGGTAGCTGCTTCTTATGGATCATTTTTGTGTCAGCACTTACAGTCCCTTAGCAGTTAATCGTGGCATCCAACTGAGACCAGATAATGAAATGTTTGAGGATCTAACCTCATTACAGAGCAAACTTAAATACACTAATGTAAATGTCTAAGGAAAGCTTGAAACCAGCGAAAATGAGGCTCTCACTGATGTGCAATCAGGTGGAGTTGAGAGCTACTCAAGGAAGCTGCTGCTCACTAGCTCCCATCACAGAATTGACTAAGGTGTAGGAGCTCTGGGTAGGTGCCTCTGGTAAGCACAGTCCTTCTCAGGGAGGAAATTTACTGCTGGATTGGGAATGGTGACCCAAATGAAAGCTCTGCCTCCATGCCAAAAGAGCTTATTACCACCCAGAGCAATCTTGCAGGTAGTCATGCCATGTGGACATGAGGATCATTTTCTTTTAAAAAAGACACTTCATAATATCTGCCTCTTAAGTAAGCCTTTAAATCCTCACCTGTTTCATCTGACAACAGGTAATTCACTGGAAAACGTGCATAAACATAGTAAAATACCATAAAAACAAGAGAGTTAAAATAATGTTATTCACTTTTCTAACAATATTTCCTTTGTGTGTTACATCATTTGTACTTTTTTCACGTGGGAATGTCCTGTCTGTGGCTGTCTTCAAACAACCCAGCACACCAATGAAAACACAGACCTGTTTACTATTTGTTCTTGTTTTTTAAATGGAGGTGTCATTTCAAAGCCAAGACAAATTATTATCATGATTAATCAAAGCTTCTTAGCCATTGAAGAATGGACAGCGTAGCAGTGTGACTCAAAGGTCAGTCCCAGGACAAATTTAAAAGACAAGAAAGAAGAAATTATATATATATATATAGTTCAGCATTACTTTAACTGAGGCAATGAGAGCTGCAGTAGATGTATATTGCATTTCCTCTAAAGCAGTAGGATAACAGTTTAAATAAAAAAGAAACCCCAGTCAGATATGCTGAGGCAATAACAAGTGGGAGGACATAACACTGTGTTAGGCTTATATTTGATAGATATAAAACTTGTAAATGCTTTGCTGCACCTGAGGTATGCTGTGTAGGGTAATTGAAATGAATCTTGGGCTGCCTTGAAGGACACTTAGCAGCTGTTCCTGTTTATCTTTTGGCTTCAGAATGGTATTAAAAGCATTTTTTATATTTTCCTGAGAAGATCAATTCTGGCAACTTTGTCTTTAAAATGTGCATTTTTATGTCACATGCACTAAATACAAGAAATTGGAGAATGACTTCTGCATTAAGTATTACAGACCTCCAGAATGCCATGAAAGAAATTCAGGTGGTGTGGGACATTTGGCAAAATTATATCAGAAGCAATGAAACTCTCAGGATTGTTAATGTCTCCTTCTTAAAAAAGCAATGAATCTGGTCTGCAGCTGAGGTATAAAAAACAAAGATGAAACCAAATAACACAATTCCAGCTTGGAAAGATCAAAAGAGTAGTTTATGTGTCAACTAGAGACTATCTCACAATTTATCTTTATATGGCTCCTTCCAACAGAAGGTTGCAAAACACTTTATAGGGATGGTTGAAAGCAAAAAGCAGGCATTAACACAAGCTGTAAAAGAAATTAAGCTGTTGTTATGTGGCTTTGTTCCTGACTGGAGTTTAGATGCCACAGATGTATTTTTTGGCTCTGCTCTACAGCTCCTGTGGGTTTTTGGGTGAATCACTCTCTTTTCACATTACTTCTTTGTCTTTAAAATTGAATTTTGCCTTCTCTTGTGGTTCCCCCACCTTATCTCTCTAGTTTATGAGTAATCCAGCCTGGAAACTACCTGGAAAATGTAAATACTGTGCATGCAAGACTGAGATTCCAATCCATATGCTACACTGTAGTCATAATTACTGTAGTAAGAGACTAATGATTTTTGAGCAGTGGAGGATGTGTTGCTGGGAAAAATGAACATAAACGTACAGCAAATTATGCAGAGGATTTAGAGGGTACTGAATGGACTTTGGATTAGGTTTCAAAACTAATTGAGAAATATACTGCTGCTGAGTGTCTGTAACAAGAGAGACAACAGTGAGTGACATTGAAATGAAGGGGAAATACAAACAGTAAACTGGTGGAAGAGGAATATAAAGTATTTCATGCAAAGGCCACAACTTGGTGCACTTCATATTGTGTAAGAGGGATGGACTACAAATAGGAGAACTGCATTACAACAGTGGGGCTGAAAAAGCTGTGGAAAATAAGAATATAAAAATTTTATGAGATTTTTCAGTCACTCTTCTTGAAATATAAGCTAAAAGAACAGATTTGGCAGTCGTAGAAAAGGAGAAAGAACAGTATTTTCCTGTGAACTTTTACATGCAGTGAGAATGTTCCTCTAAATGAAAAAAAAAAAAAAATTGAAAAATAGGATCACTGACTGCAAATTTTCAGTCAATGGGTTTGCAAATTGCAAAATCATTTACTGGAGGTGCAGTGGGATTTCCTGTCAGGAAATATTAAAACTGTACTATGTAAACTGGGAATTGAAGACTCTGGGTGTTTCAACAATACTCACCAGCACCTCTAAAATTCTGAGAAAACTGGCAATATTCCACATTTTTAGTTCTTCATGTGGATTACAACTGCACTGACAAGTGGTAATGCTCCTCTACTGCCTATCTCCTGCCAAGATTGACAGCTGTGGAGGGAATTAATAATGATTATGATGATAATGATGATAAAGAAAGGGATTAAGAGACTTGGAGGTGTGTTTTGGAAAACAGGGATAAAGAGAATATGGAAGATGTATTGGTATGGATAAGGATAACACAACTGTAGATACAGATGACTACCTTCAGGAGGCTAGGGAATCACCATTAGCATTTTTGTTAAGGTATGATTTCCAATGCCTAAGGAATGTCTAGTGTAACAGATTGCATTGGGTTTGCATGGCCAGGTTTTGGTAGCAGGGGGGCTACAGAGGTGGCTTCTGTGAGAAGCTGCCAGAAGCTTCCCTCAGGTGCAACAGGATCAATGGCAGCTCCAGGATGGACATGCCCCTGTCCAAGGCCATCAGTGATGGTGGTAGCGCCTCTGGGATAACAGATTTAAGGAGAGGAAAAAGCTACTGTGCAACTTTAGCCAGACAGAGGAGTAACAGTATGTGAGAGCACCAGCTCTGCAAACATCAAGGTCAGGGAAGGTGGAGGGGGAGGAGGTGCCCCAGGTGCTGGAGCAGAGATTCCCTCCCAGCCTGTGGTAAAAACCACGGTGAGGCAGTTGTGCCTCTGCAGCCCATGAAAGGTTCATGGTGGAGCAGAGATCACAAAGATCCACCTCCTGCCCCTAGAGGACCTCATGCTGGAGCAGGTGAAGAGTGTGAGGAGTCCTCTCCCTGAGGAAGAAGAAGCAGCAGAGACAACATATGATGAACTGACCATAGCCCCCATTTCCCTGAGAGTGAGGAGGAGGAGAAAATAGGGAGTAAAGTTGACCTTAAGAAGAAAGGAGGTGTGGGGGGAAGGTGTTTTTAAACCTGGGTTTGTTTCTCATTGCCCTACTCTGATTTGATTGATAATAAAATATTTTTTGCCGGTTTGCCCATGATGGTAACTGGTGAGCGATCTCTCCCCTCTCCTTATCCTGAGCCATGAACCTTTTGTTATATTTCCTTTCCTATACTCACATAAGGAGGGGGTGTTAGAGCAGCTTTTCTGGGTATCTGGCATACAGCCAAGGTGAACCACAAGGGTCTTCAGGAAACACAGGACATTAGTATCTTTTGCCAGTCTGTGCTGTGGTGATTACTACATAAACTACCTGTCTAAGCAATTTAAATTTCGGATTTCCCAAATAGTAGCTTTCCTTGTTATTGTGAAGAGACACTATTAATCAGGTGAGTTCCAGTGCTTTGCCAGCTTTCAGAAGTCTAGCACACACCAAAGAGAACTGTCAGCAAGATGTCAAGCACCTTTTTTATTTAAAAAAAAATGATCTTGATGTTGCCAAAAATTAAAATCCCGAACACTTCCTTACGTAAAAATTAATCTAAGCAACTATTTAATGGAGAGGTCATATTTTGAGACAGTCTGTGGATGCATCACCATCACCAGAGTACTCCAAATAATTATTTGCCAAGAAAATCAATGTAAGATGTGGCATCAACACAGGGCACCTGTCTGACAACTCTTCCACAGGGCATAGATGTGGGTGCTCTAAGAAAGAGTAAATTGCCATCTCTAGATTCACTCAAGTGAAGCCAAGGAAGATGAGCTGGTCTAGTCATCTGGCTTTTTCACTGACTTTGGAACAGCTTGCAAGTCCACCATCTTACCAAGTTTTGTCAACAGATCTGGTAAATTGGACTGTCTGGCTAACTTGTCCTTATTTAAGTAAGTTTTAAGTTGATTGAATCTATAACTACAGTAGAATCTGCTGAAGCCGAAACCTTTCCCAAGCTGATAGTGGTAATTCCGACATAATAAACCCCACTCCTTTCTGTTTCTCTCTTCCACCTCTCTAATTTTTCTTCTATTTTTTGTTATTCCAAACCAAACAGCAATCTCCCTCTTAAAACTTAACTTACATCTTCTAAATTCTTCCAACAGGAATTTACTCTTATTTGACAGTAATTTTTAAATATTATATTTTTCTTTTTTTAACACTAGTAAGAAAGGACAAGGACCCTAAGGTCATTATATGCTGAGATAGATCCAGAGATATGACTGAAATGAGACCCAGTGTGACACAGCTGCCTCCAGAAAAAAAAAAACAAGAACAAAAACAACAAACTCTCACTTGAACAAAACAAAACACACTGGGACAATGTGGTGTTTCAATTTCCAGTTGTGTTATCATGGTTTCTATACAAAGTCTGGAGAAAACAACAAGCATATTCTTTGCAAAGATGAATAAAGGGAATATTTGAAATAGGATATTAAAATAATGGGTGACCTGTCAGAGACCATTGTGACAGCTACAAGCAGCTACTTCTATTTGCCTCTGAAAAAATCTAAATGGACAGAAGATAAATCAATATATTCTAAACATATGGTCTAGCTATTGGGTTTCCCCTGCCTTCCTGTTTTATTTTCCTGAGGTATAGAAATGATTTGAAGAAACACGAGAGTAAGCCAGTTAATGCAAAACATTTTGCAGTTCTTGGAACTCCTGTAAAGACAGCTTGTAACACTGTACATTTCATTCAACAGAATGGCCTCAGCACTGTTTTAATTGCAGCTGAAACTCAGATTCAGCAAGATACCTGATATTAGTCATGGCTGACACGCTAAATTTATTTAAAGAGTTTTACACTGACAGAGTTTGGAAGTAGACTGGAAAGATCCTGGAGATAAATTTGAATTGCAATTTCAGTTCCAAGCTTTATCCAAATATATTTGACTCAAATCATCTGTGTCATAAAACTCGTATCAAGTCCTTGAAAAACTCTGCACGTAGAGACCATGAGGTAAAATTTTTATGTCCTTGGGTATACTGGAAAATAAACTCAGTTTTCAAAATTAGACATGTTAGTCCTCAGCAAACTAATACAAATGCCTGTTTTACATGCAGAAAGAAACAAGACTTTCAGCTCTACATGTAAATGCCAACTGATTTCAATAAGATGCATGTCCACATACAGGATATGAGGGTATACTATAACATGGCTGGTTGTACATAACCTGAGCACTTGGAAACTCCCAGTATGTCATTACAATAATTTACATGAAATTTTAAAGAATCTAGTTTGGACCAGCAAGCCTGCAGACAACAGTTCACGGCAGCTGAGCTGCTCCAGTGATCCACTGCTACTGAAAGGAGTCTTTCTTCCTATGACTTTCTCTATTTCCACCCATTTTCTTGAGCTGACTCCAGGGGACCCTGTCCCCAGAGATGATTAAACTTGTTGATCTGGACAGAAAAATTATTCCATTTTCTTTTTTTCTGCATTAATTGTCTGTTGGCTTGTTGAACTGAGTTCAATACTTGGTCACAAACACAGCATCTGAGCGAAGGTAAGTGGAGAAGACTTGATAAAAGGAAAAAAGTGGAATTTCGTTCTTTGACAGTGGTAGGCTACCACATTTTCAGAGGGAGCTGCACTCTGTGATTTTTGTATGGCTTCTGGAGCAATTGTTTATGGCACTGTGGAAATTCCTAATGAAAAGAAGTATTGTATTAAACTAATTTTAGTTAAAAGACAGAAGCCTGGGTGAATGAAAGTATCGTGATAACACCAGCAAGGAAGTATTCTGTAAAGTGGCTTGATGACTTACCTTAAAGGAGATTTCATACTGTTCTCCTCCCCATATTTCTAATCCTGGATCATAGCCTCCCAGCTCCCAAAACCATTTCCGGTTAACGGCAAATAGACCTCCAGCCATTACAGGAGACCTGAAGGATGAATAAAGCAACACAAACAATAATGAAGATGTTTGGACTGTGTGTGTGTGCCTCTGGGTGTTTTTGTTTGAATGTTGTTTGAATTGTGAACTTATGAAAGGCATAGATGAACAGTAGTGCAACCAAACAATATTTACCTGTATTCGTCCAAAAAGGAGCTCTAGATGAGAAACAGGCAATGTGATAGATCTAGAGAATGGTGGACAGTCATGCACAAACTCCTTATTAAAAAGAAATTCCCAACAAAACTGAGCAAAAAAAACCAATACCTCCCCCCCCCAAAAAAAAGTTCTGTTTGTTGCTAAGTAACAGAGAAGAAAGGGACTCTGGAAACCTGCCAAAGTATTTAATGAGTCTCAGTACTCCACGTGAAGTAATGTGCATTTGAAAGTGAGCAAAAGTTTTCAATTCATTTAAGTCTCATAGGTGCTGGCTAGAGTAAGGCAGAAAGGTGAAAGAGGATAGCTGAAGAGAAGCTGTTGGGAGTTAAACATCTGCCTTCCTAAGCATTTAAAACTCCTTAAGTGTGCCTCACAGTGGTAATGTGACTTATAGGCAAATAATTTGCTATGCTTCCCATGTTCCCATTTATTCCATTAATAAATATGTGGAATTTTCTTCAATTAGCTTAGTCTTTTTCACAGACAATATAGAAAACAGATGAGATATTTAAAGTTATTGTTAGAGAATAATGACAAAAACATATTGCAACTTTATAAGCAGGAATTTTGTATTGGAAAACAGGCATTTTCTCTTTTCTTTTTCTTTCAGTACCAAGAAGACCATGTTCCTAATGCAGTAAATACGTTGACAGCTCTCAGGATTCAAATGTTGCTCTTCAACTGATTCCTTTAAGTTGTGGTGGAAGGGGAATACAAAGGCACCTATGCTGAACAGGAGGAAAACAACATGCTTTAGAAAGTCCAACCCAACTATGCAATTCCACCAATGCAGATCAACACCAGCCTGATGAGTCTTAGAGCAAGAGGCCAGAAGGAACACATTCACGCTGATGTCTAGCCAGAAAGAGAAGAAAAGACAGAGCCATGGGAGACCTGGATGGCTTCCAGGCAATATTTCCTTAGCAGAGAGCCAACATGAAACTGGGTCCTATGCGCCGTGTCCTGTAACAGTGAAGCCCCAAGGGAAAATTATTCCATCCTGGGGCATTTTTGTTTTGAATTACTGCTGGTGGTTTGTTTGGGGCTATGGAGCAGATGGTATCATCCTGGAAGTCCTGACTGGAAAATAAAAACTTCCCCCTTTGGCACTAGTTTAGGATTTGTCAGTGAACTTGGGATTGGTAAATATTTCAGGAATCCATACATAAGTTAGAAGTTTATTGAAGAGCACATCATGTTAATGGAATATTCTGCCATATTTTCTCTGCCTTAACACTTTTTTATACTGCTGTCTTTTATCCAAGGCAATAGAGGTGATAAAATAACAAGCAAACAGCTGAGTGGTCTCTGCCACCATCAGGCAGCCAGTGAATCCCCATACATCAATGTTAGAAAATTATCTCCTTATTTGCATTCATGGTAATGAAAGACATTATGGATAATTTTCCTTTCACTTTTATATGGTAGCTTAAAAAAATAATGTTAAACTACCCATTTTTATGACTCTTAAAGACTAATTTCATTTTCCTTTAGAGATTACATTTTTAAAAGCACACAGAAGCTTTGAGAAACAAAGCTCCATGAAAAAAAAAACAAACTGCCAAGGCTGTGCACTGTAACATACACTGAATGCTAATACTTTTTTACTTTTATTGACATTTCATATTTCAATATTGACTGTATTTCCACATAAGAAAAAATTCAGTGGAGATTTTATTAGAAACCTTCCCCTGAGGATTCTGACTACTACAATACATTTTCAATTCTTACCAAAGTAAATCTAATTACAACATGTCCTTTTTGACTTCAGGTTTTAAATAATCAAAATATAATGCCCTTTTATAAAGAAGAACTTTCATAGAGAATGCTTACAACTAAATTGCTACTGACAGAAGAAATGTAGTCCCAGAAATCACTGGGAAAAAGCAGGATTTCTCTAATTCTCATAGATACTATATCTTTCCTAAGCATTCCTCTCAGCACAGTGAGTGCCTATAAAAAAGGCAATTGCTGCAGGTAAATCAGATGGAAGGTAAAAAAATCAGAGATTTAAAATTCCAAAATAATTGGTCAAACTTACAAATTACATTAGAATTGATAGATTTTTCCAGTGATAAATATTGAGTAATGAAACCCCTTGTTCTTTAGATGTGGAAGTTCAGAACATTTATTGCAATTAACAAAACTACCTAATGACTGGAACAGTAGAAAACTCATAATTTTTGCATTTGCTTAAAACAAAGAGAATAAATTGAATGCAATGTTGCCCCATTAATTCCTATTCCACAAGATGTTCTGACATTTGTTGTTTTGTAGGAAGAGCAATGAAGGGGAAAAGCAGGATGGCCTTTTGGTTTTCATTAGAGTGGAATTAGTAATAAGCTGTGTGAAACAGAGTGCTTGGCACAGCATGAATTCCACTCCATGCCACAAGCAGCTCCTGCTGAACAGGCCTTAAACTGTCTCCAAAATATGAAGACAAAAGTCCAGTCTTGCAATCATGGCCGATATGAAAAGTCCTTATGTATCAATAGGATCACTTACACAGATAAAAGAACTGCACTGAGCCCAAAGGAGAACAATTAATCTCTTGTTTAGTGGCTTCTGTATAGAAAAGTCAAGTACAAAGCTATGTTTGTAGAAGTAATTTTTTCATGAAATGTCCTACTCAGATGCTTAAATAATCAGACTTGAGCTATCCTAGCATAATATTATGTGAGTAATTACAGTGGAAAGCTGTAAAGTGCTTATGGTCAAAACATTAAAAGGACAAAGACTCCTAAAACATCAGAAAAGCTGGAAGGGTAAGGTTGCTAAACTTAAAAATATTTGTAAAAATCCTTCCACATGAGAACTACTGCACAGACTCACTGAATATACATGCAAGAACAATAGTGTAAGTAAAAGCTAGCTAATCAAAAAACGACCCAACTGGACAAAGACTGCTGTGCACCAACAGAAAAAGAATTTGATTTAGTTAGAGTGTAAACCCCACCCCCGCCCCTAACCCTACAAAATTTGCTTTGCAAAAAGGATCAACTGAGAAAAAGGCAGCAAATGCTTCATATGAAAAGATAGCTTACAAACAAAAAACTGCACTGAAAGAAGTGTAGCACTAGCTCAAACTGTAGCCAGCAAAAATTTTTATAACTGCTTGCAATTAACGTGCAGAGGAAGGAGATAACCTCACCTATGAATTTTCAAGGTAAGAGAAAAATTACATGAACTTCAAAGGAGTTGAGTGGAAGCTGCTTGCATTAGAAACAAATGTGGTATGTTGCAAACAATCGAGCTGCATAGCAGGATTTAGAATCATTACACTGCAAGAGTGATACATGCAGTGGAACTAAAGGATTTGTGAAAAGGGAAGAGAAGCTTTGACAGCCTTTGGAACGAAAAGGAGGGAAATGAAAGTGGGAAAGCACTTGTGCTGGATGATGTGTGCAGTAGGTACACTGATAGGAACCACCTGCCCAAAAGAGCTGAAATTTGGCCATTATAATCAAATCCAGGGAATGGCACACATTGCACTCTGCACCTCTCTGTGTAACCCAGACTGATTAAAGGCTCTGTGCTGAACTACTAAACAGAGACTGATAAATGCTGGAGAGAGGAGTCCATCTCATGCAGGATACATCAGACAAACTGACCTTCAGTGCCGAACCCACTGGCACATTATACAAAAACAAGGGAAACAGCCCGCAGCAGAAATCAGGACTGGTCCTGCTGACCTTGTGGTGTCAGGGATGTAATGGAAAAGGACGAAAGGGGACAGAAATGACTGGTGATCTACTGAATGTAGCTTTCAGCTAGGCTTCAGCATTTTTTACAATAAATTTCAATGTCTTGTTAAGCAAAAAGTGTCCCTTCACCCTAGTGATACCACATGAAGGCACCTCAGGAGGGGGGATAAATTCAGGTACCTTGTTTCACTGGTGACTGCTTCAGCTCCTCTCTGTGGGGATTCCTGATACTGTACCAAAGCTTCTTAAAGCAAATGGCAGAAGCTGACACTAATCCTGCATAAAAGTTCTAAAAAACCTGAAAATCAGAATTTATGTATGTGTAATATTAGTGACAAACTTGTCTATTTGGAGGAAGTGAAAGCAGAAGTAAACCAAACTGAAATTCAGATGAGTTGATCAGATGGTTAGAAACTGATGAAGGTTAAGAAAATAAATGACAAAAATAAAAATTTAGTGGTTGCTCCATCTAAAGACAGTTTCTATACTGCACATAGAAAAAGATGTCAAGGTAGTTGAAATGAATACTGATAAATCTTCCTGAATATCCCAAGAAGTAAAAAAAAAAAAAGTGGACTATTTTATATACTTAATTCTCTAATCAAATATAATTAAAATGTATTAAGAGGCATTGTTTTATCCATCCTAACAACAGAACCCATTTCAATGTTTATAAAATCATCAACATTCAGGAAGCAAAACTTGTCTCTGTGACATTAGCTTATGGCAGTTACTCTTTCTTTTTTAACTCAAGTGTCCCTTTTTCTGAACAATTTTTACCCTACATAAATGTATGTAAACTACCAGTTCAAATTATCATTGTGCTGAAACATATTGTTTCAAGCAGCCAAGTTGTATTAAACTTAACTCCCAAGTTTCTCTATTATCACATTTAATTTTTAAATTCCACTTTATTTTTTGGAAATATTAAGATAAAATCCCATTCTTCAAATGGTGAGCCAGAAAGCTGTGGAGAATCAGCTACAAAGAAACCTCTAGAAGTGCTTGACTTCCAGCTTATAGAAGTTTCCACTGTAATTTCATCACACATTCTTATTTTTCTTACCACATTGCTAAACTTCATTAAAAAATTTGTAAAAATTTGTAAAAAAGCAATGAGTCTTTA